CACTAATTGAGCTTTTACTCAATCGTCATTGATAGGTTTGGGGTCACAGGATTTTACTGGTAGTAACCGACAAACTAACAATATACATAATTTTGAACCAAGTTAAAACTATAATTCCCCAACTAGACTGTAAGTCTAATGAAGACAAGGATCTTTCTTTATATCTCTTCATATCCCAGCATTTAGTGTAATTCCAGGTATATGTAGTTCAACGAATGTATGCTAACGTAAATAGATTTTGTAAAATAAAAAGACATGAAAGCAGAAAATTGATCCCTTTGTCCAAATTATTTTGTTACAAAAGAATTTTTTACAAAAGAATTTATTGCAGCTCTCCTTTAAATATTGCCCCTTCTACCCAAATGATATGAAGTAAAATGAGTATGACTAAAATTTAATTCACATGTGATTTTATGTATCATGTGTTCTGATTGTAACTTGAACACTACAATCTTTAAATGAATCAATATAAAAATTATAGGGAGAGACTGTTACTTTTACCTTAAAACTTATGCCAGGTTTTACATTCAAGTCTATACTCTCACAAGAAATTCATACCAAATTATTTTTTTGAGCGGATAGTCAGGCAGGATATTCATTTTTATGATAGATAATCCAATATCATTCCCACTTCACTTGTCAGAACATAAAATGCAATAGACATGTTGCTGTATTTTCCCCTTTTGAACATTTAAGCTGTTAGAGAGTCATATTTTCCATGAGTAAAGTTAGAAAAAATTCCGGCTATAGCCAGTCCAAAAATATGCCTCAGTTCTGAGAAAGAAAAATCATGTCATACGATGGTAAATATAATGTTGGATCAATTCAATCCATTGAAATCCACATATTCTGGATGCCTCCCAAAATCAGCCTCTTAGTAATTTGTCTTCTCGGAGTTATTCTTCATAAAACTGATTACTGCGTTGTGCTTTTCTCACGATGAATATCTATATGTATGATACATATTTTAGTCTCTTGCATTATTTTTCTTAGGTTCTCAGCTAAACGTTCCAAATAATGTATTCATTATTAGAAAAATGATAAAATCTTTATATATTGGCTTTCCCCCCTCTAGTTTAGTGGCTTATAAATAATTATGTTGGTTTAATAACTCTTCCCTAATTCTCTTAACTTCCTAAAATGCCTATCATCCATTTTCAAATGGGTCTCTGTCCTTGGTTAGATCAATAAACTATTGTCACAAAGGCATCTTTGCTTCCTAATCGCCTGACACACTTCAATATTTTCACATCAAAGATAAATTTAAATTGTATAGGTCTCTATCACTGCCATTTTCGTCTTCCAATTTGTACTTTTGTCTGATTCACTAAGGGGCACATCATTTATTTTCTTCTGTGCAGATCATCCTTCTTCTATTTCTAACTATTCGGAAAAGTCCTTGTTCCCTTTAAAGAATTCCTTTTCCTCTGTACAATGACTCACTATAAATTCAATTATTACCTAAGTGTCTAGACCCCTGAGCAGAAAGAAGGTTGGCCTCGGAATCAGACTTCGCTTCCAGGAGCAAGTCTTCTATCCCCGGAGAAGACAACTGGGCTACACAAAGAGCCTGACAGTTGTCATCGGGACAG